TCGCTGGGGATACAAGACGAGTAATGGCACCTGGGACGTAGTCAAGGCAATGAGGAACTATGGGATACCCCAGGTACCTCATGGCTGTGTGTGTCTTGAACATGTCCTGAACCTTGTGCTGTAGTTTTTAAGGGGGAGGCTTTTGCTCTGTCAGTCTTCCAGTTATGGCTGTACATGAAGGGCAAGTTTTTATACCAACAGGCTTTTTTTCTTTAAAAATTAAAAAAACCTATATTTGATGTCCGAGGACTGCATTGTCCCTCATAAACTTGTATTTCTTTATCTCTTATATGGATATTTTAAAGTGTGGAGCTGTGTTGGGGTGCAAATCACAGAGGAACATGTAACCGATTAATTCCACACTGAGAAGTAAAAAAAAAAAAAGATGAAAAGCAACCCTTTGGCTTTTCAACCTGTTGTACACATCTGACAAAGTTGAAATCTTTTTTTAATCTTCAACATTGGATTTACCTCTACAAGCTCATATTGATCTATGAGATTATCTGTACTATTTTCACGATTGCAAAAAAGTGTTTTTTTTCCACATTGCTTTACATCACACTCTCTTGCATTGGCGTGTTTCAGGATGTACAGTGGAATGACATTGATTACATGAATGGTTCGCGGGATTTCACCTTTGACCCTGAGCGATTTTCCACTCTCCCAGAAATGGTGAAGGACCTGCATAAAAAAGGGCAACGCTATGTCATGATCCTGGTATTTCCTCTTTTCATTTACAAGAAAAAAAACAATCTCTTTTATATGTAGAGGTGTTTTATTCCCTGTTTATCGTGTCTACAAAACTTGTTTTAATTGTGGGAATTGTAGATGCCTTTGGACATTGGGCACCTTTCTCTTCCTCAATCAATAATTAATAAACTAATTCTGAAGCACAGAAGCTAAGCATAAAATAAATGTTTTCAAATACTGAGATGGCTTTTTGTGTGATATCACCACTTGCTAGAACTTCATTACATTTTCTCACCCTTCTCCATGAAATCCATTTTGCAGGACCCTGGTATCAGTAGCACCCAGCCCCCAGAATCCTACTGGCCTTACGATGAAGGACTGAGGCGGGGAGTCTTTATCAATGACTCGGATGGGAACACGTTAATTGGGAAGGTGTGGTATACTCCAGTTAGTTTTCATGCAAGCTGTTTAAGAGGTATAAGTCATAATCCATCTTTTTGGTCGGTAAGGTTCCAAAGTAAACCTCATTTATAAATTTTTGAAGTTAATATGTAACTGAAAACAAGATTTTCTGTTGCACTGTACGAAACGCATGTCTGAGAGGCTAAAAAAATCAAGAAGGATTTAAATAGTTATTGAAAATGAAACTACTAACCTGATGTCTCATACTTCAATCTACATTTTGAGTACAGAATGCTTCCTCAGTTCTTAATTCTGATCTTCACTTCTTTATGTGAGTAACTCTTTTTTTAGGTAGAAAACAGAGGACTCAGCTGACTAATTATTTCCTCTTTCCTAAGCGTGGAAAGACTTCATATTAAAGGAGGTTGGAAAAAAAAAGCCGGGGCCCATTATTTCCATTGTAAATGCTGCGTAACTTCCATCGTCTCAGGAGTGTGTTTCCGAGTGCAGTAAATTAATTCTTGACAAGGATGTGCGCCGCGCTTGCTGCTGGATTATTCAGCGTAATTAAAGACATAAGGTCTCTTTTGAAAAAAGATCTCTCCAAAGTGTTAGGGAATTCACAAATTCTTAAAGCTGGTGCATAAATATAACAAATTACTTCCCTTTTCAGTTGATGCAGAGTTTATCAAAGCAGCCAAGATGTGTCAAAACATTGGTTTCCATCATCATGACCCGTTTCCTTTTCTTACTTTGGTTAGGTTTGGCCAGGGCTTACAGCTTTCCCTGACTTCTCGAACCCAGATACACACCAGTGGTGGTACGAAAATCTCCAGAAGTTCTACACCCAAGTCCCTTTCGATGGGCTTTGGATTGTAAGTTACTGCCTATGCCTTTCGCAGTGTATCTGGCAATGGAGCAACAGAGTAATTTTTTTCCCTTTTCCACGGCAGGATATGAATGAGCCATCAAACTTCTTTGATGGATCACTTAACGGCTGCCCCTCTAATGATTTGGAAAACCCACCTTACACCCCTGGTAAGAAGTGTGCAAAAGTAGGATTTTAGGAAGCGTCAGATCTAAGGATATGAAAAGATATAACAGAAGCGATCTTCCTTAAGAGCTTAAAGATCCTTTAAAAATGTGTGTTTATGCAAGACCTTAAAATGAAGAGTGTTCGAATTGAGTCTGCATGGTTTGTGTGCCTCGTGGCTTTTTGATCCTGTAATGGTTAATAATTGTGCGGCTGTCCTGCTATTATGACCTGTTGGAATGGGATTCAATTGAAGACTTTTTGAAAGGAGCACAGCATGAAAAGACATGCCGAGACGTCCTGCTGAATAAAAGGTGATTATGGTGTTCCTTACTACAGGATGCATTTTAAGAAGGGAAACTTTTGTTTCTTTGACTTTCAGGGATTCTTGGAGGTACACTCCGGGCAAAGACGGTCTGTGCCTCTGCCGTTCAGAAGTTGTCAGTCCATTATAACTTGCACAGCTTATACGGTTTGATGGAGGCTATGGCTTCTGCCAGGCGAGTATCCGACTTGAATCGTGTCTGATTATAAAAACTCTATTTCGGCATGTTGATTGTTAGGAAACGAATAACAGATAGGAGGTAGTAACTGTTATCACCTGTAGGATTTGCGAAGCTGGTTTGGGGGGAAAATGCTTGCCTTCCGAAGGTGTTGTGTTTTGCGGTCTGTCATGTGGGGCGATTTCAAAAGGCGCGCTGCCGTGATTCTGAGAAGTGACACCGGAGGTAACAGCGAATTTCCCGTTTCTCTCAGCGCCTTGAGGAAGATCGTGGGGAAGCGCCCCTTTGTGATCTCGCGCTCCACGTTCCCCAGTCAGGGGCGATACTCCGGACACTGGCTGGGGGACAACGGGAGCAAGTGGAAGGACCTGTCCATGTCCATCCCAGGTACAGTGGGCACTGTGGCAGCCTGTTCCCTGGGGCCTGAATATCCACTACCAAGGCGTTCGTGTTCGCCTCCAGAATGGGAAAGCGACCAGTAAAGTCCTGAGGTTTTCTATACTCAGGTGTTTTCTCTCCATTTTTCCATTTCGTTCAGAGGAGGATCATTTTAACTCTTTTTTTTTTTTTTCCCCCCGTTTTGCTTGGGGGCAGGCATCCTGAATTTTAATCTTCTGGGCATCCCCCTGGTTGGCGCGGACATCTGTGGGTTCAGCGGCAGTACGACAGAAGAGCTGTGTGTTCGCTGGATGCAGCTGGGGGCGTTCTACCCCTTCTCCCGCAACCACAACTCCATCGACCAGCAGGTACCCGCGCAGCCACTCTCGCCCAACGGCACATCGGAGTTTCTGCTGCTCAGAAACGCATTTTGTCCGGGACGGGCTGGACAATTTCTCCTTGAAATCTGAAGGTTGTTTTTTTTTTTTTTTTAAATGTCCACAGCCTCAGGACCCAGCGTCCTTCAGTCCCCTGGCCCGGACCGCAATGAAGGAGGCCCTGCTGCTGCGCTACAGCCTGTTCCCCTTCCTCTACACCCTGTTTCATCGTGCCCACGTCGAGGGCTGGACGGTGGCGCGCGCTCTTCTGTTCGAGTGAGTGCTTCCTGATGAATCATCGCGGTTTCCCTCTTTCCTCGGTTTAGAAAAGAAAATACCACTCGGTGCGTTCATTATTCAAAACATAAGCATTTCCTTTTTTCGTACAGGCATGGAGGGTGTTATTTGAAGGAAACAATGCTGTGTTGTGTGATATAGTTGGAAACGGAGACGTTTTTCCATCACGAATTCCATTCCCATTATCTTTTCTAATTTAATTATTACTTTTCCAATGGGTCTTCAGCTAGTAAGTATCTAGTAAGTCAACATCTTGCTGTTTGTATCAAGGTAATACAATTAAATTTCTCGGTAGGATTTATAGAGTAGTATTTTGTTATGATGGGGATTCATTAATGCCAAGTGCAACTAGGACAGGAGTTAATTATAACGTTGTAATACATTACATTGTTTTGACCTTCATTACTACTACAGCTGCTATCCCTTTAGCAAATGAATGTAGATTAACCAATAATTTGAAGGAGCTAGTATCTGAGAACATCAACACGCCATCACTTACCACAGAATTCAGGGGCTGATGAAGACATCGGTATTAGAAAGGTCCGGCTCTGGCTTATTTGATCTGAAAGCTATAGACAACTGGCAGTTTTATTTAACACTTGCATATACTGTAAAGGTAGAAGGTATAATATTCTGATTTGTTTTTAACTGAATAAATTGGCAGCAGTCTAAAAGAGATTGAAAGCAGTGAAGTCGATCATGATGCCATGCTAAAGAGAGATGCTCAACTTGGGTTGTTTCCTTTGGTTGTAGCAATTACAGTTCCTTCCATTCACACAGCAGCTTTTAACCTTGAGGATCCCCAAGTTCTTTACACTTAGTAGGCGACCCCCTTCTTTCCCCACTGACGTGGAGCCCCTGCCCAAGAGACCTCGATATCGTTTAGGCTGCTGAACAGCCCTGGCCTCACTTAGCTCCTGACATCCAACCATTCAGGGTACAAATTGGTTGTTGTAACACTACCGAAGGTAGTGTCTTTGCTTGTCGATGCAGAGATAAAGAAGAGTCGTTTAATTTCAGGTTTCCTGATGATGTGAAGACCTATGCCATTGACAGACAATTCCTGTGGGGACGAAGCCTCCTTGTGACCCCAGTGTTAGATCCTGGAGTTGATTATGTTGTTGGATATTTTCCCAAAGGGCTGTGGTACGATTACTACACGGTAAGAAATCGTAGAAAGTCCAGCATACTGTAGGTGTCGTCATTAAAAGCAAGTTTCAGTATATGTTAGCAGAAAAACATTTTAGAGAAGTAAAATCCCCTATTCATGTCTTTAAAATATGTATTCCAAATGTCTAAGAGCAATGCAATGCTGCACTCTGGTGTTGTAAATGACGAACTGCACTCCAGTTGCAAGATTTGGCACCACTGGGATATTTTTATTTCCTGATAGATGCATGTTTTGGAGTTCAACAAAATTCCAGCAGCAGGCGTGTTTTTACCAGGATGACAGCTGCCTCATTTAATAGCGGAGAATTTCCTAAATTGAGAATATTTTTCCTAAATTAAAATGAAGTATTTTCGTTATTTTCGGTTAGAAATAAGTTGGTAGAAGTGACAGTGAGTAAAATAACAGGATTTGCTTTATTACAGGGCGACTCGTTAAGAAGCGCTGGGGAAGAGGTGAAGCTACAGGCCCCCTTGGACAAAATAAATCTTCACGTCCGAGAGGGCTCTGTGATACCCACTCAGGTGTGCCCATCTGGATTCTCCACACAGTTAGGCATCTGGACAGCAGTGAGGGGTGGAGTGCAAGCATCACCAAAGAGAAACAGTTCAGCACTTTTTAACTGCAGTGACATCATTTAAGGTTCCGTACGACTCTGGAAGGATCAGATTTTATTGACTTAAAGTCTTACAGTAAACAGCTTGAAGTGATGCACTACGTAACAATAACTTCCTCTGTGCTGTTGACATTTATGTATATGAATATTTCTTTTGCTATATTGTTTTTCAGGGCAGTTCACGTTTCTGAACTCATTTGCTTGAGAAACAGCTTAGAATTTTGCATGTTCTGTACTCAGGAGATAATGGCCTGAAGTAGGTACATAACACCTTCACTTGAAAGTTTCACTCATGCATAACGTTTAACCACCCATAGCACTTCTTACACTTAACCACAATATTATGTCCAGTGGAGTCGAAGATGTAAAACTCTACTACACAAGGTAACGTTTGGGATTTTCTGTCCCCCAGACCCCCAATACCACACTGTGGATCAGTACTGGCAACCCTCTCCACCTGGTTGTAGCTCTGTCGGACGACAGCACAGCCGAAGGAGACCTCTTCTGGGATGATGGAGAGAGCATCGACACCTACGAGACGGACCAGTATGCTTACATCGTCTTCAGTGCCTCACAGGTAAGGAGACAACGGAAGGCTTATGTTGCGAGCAAAAGACGTGCTGAGGTAAAGATCTCGTTTTTAAATCGGGCTTTCCTAAACATTCTATAGCGCCAGTTTTTTTTTTTTCATATAAAACGAGCTGTTTATTCTAAAACATGCTGCTGCATGAGGTGAGATGACAGGTTCTCTCAGCAGGCCTTTTACACTGTTGCTTATTTTGCATTCATGTACAGGCTGAAGTTTAAAATCCTAAAAGTGGCACAATGACATTGTTGTAGAGTCAGAGTAAAGCAATTTGACCTTATGGAAATTTTTTTGTATATTTTGCAGAGGTGAACATTTGTATGTATATACAATGAGTTTTTCATATGCATCAGAATATTCAGTATTAATCAGTTTCATGTATACAGTGCAAATTACAGGGATGGGAAATACACATTCCTTTTAATTTACTGTGATTAACGGACACCACAGCAGTCCTCAATTCACTTTTCTCAGCGCAAGTGAGTCCCTAAGACCCAGTTCAATTAGTACAGCTCAACCGAGAATGAGAATAGTGGATGACTTTCTGTGACTGAACTTTTCAGTTGCTTTTAAAAAGTAAAGCACTGATTGTTTTGTGGAACCCCAAACATCCTTGAGTGTTACCTTAGCATGAGAGAAAAGAGTAGAGAAACGTTAAGTGTGCTCAGGAGACATGATACATGCGTCTGCTGCAATTGGCTTCATTAAGCTTTCTCCATTTTCCTTGAAGTAATAAAACCCCTTTTTCTCTGCTGATCAGTATAACCCATTGGATTATTTACAATCCCAAATCCCCTAGTGCCTCTTCAGCTCCAGTCTTTTACAAGCAGAGGAATTAGTACCATCCCATAATTTGAAAGAAACAGTGTAGGTTATCTACATTTAACATGTAATTAATTTGTAATTTCTGAGCTAGATTTGTTTTCATCGATGGGATGAGAATTAGTTATATTTCAGTTAACAATACCATAGACTTTTAAACAGTTAGATTTGTAATGTGCTATTAAATATAATTAAATATCCTTTCACAAATTTCTAACTTGCAGGACAGAGAATTGTAGCTCTAAATGAAAGGCTTTAATTTAAAATGCCGTTCAGGAGTCATCTATTGTATAACTAACGAACCTGGATCCCAGCAGAAACGGAGACTTACTTTCCAGTTTCTTTAATTGTAGCTAATTGTATGATCACAGTTAAGGCAGTGAAATGTCTTTTTGAATCCAAAGGACAGACCTGGAGTGAAAACGTATTTCAGCAAGCGATATGATATATGATACCTTGGGCTTTTTCTGCCAAGACATTCTATTCAGCATTACCTTTGAATGGCTTCTGGGTAAAAAGCTGTTTGTGAAGAAAATGCAGACCTTTCAATTGTGGTTTGTTGCTTATATTTGGGACACTGGTTAGGCACTTTCCTGATCTCATAGAAATATATATTTCATAAAAAAAAACGCATTGTGTAACTACTTTGGTTTGGCAAAACCAACCAAAAAAAGGCTTGGTCTTGGTTTGTCTTCTCTTGTTCTGAAAATACACTGTAGGCATTTAACTTTCATCAAGATGCACATTCTTTAGGTCTGTCAAAGCATCTTTGCTGTCCAGAAGTTTGGGGTTTCAGAAATACAATTTCAAATACATGCTATTAAACATTTAAAAGCACTCTCTGCTTGAAAGCAGCTACGAAAGACATAACGTCAGTATTCTGATGGATTTGTACATGCACAGAGAAAAGTATTGTTTCTCTGACCAGAAGAGGAGTTCATTATGACTAATTACTTAAGTCCATGTCTTACTCACTGCAAAAGCTGTATATTTGCATAATTTTTCCATGTGTGCTTTGTGGTTTTCTTGTCTGGCAAAGCGATTTTCTTTTATTCCTGGCTTACTCACTGCTATATATTTCCAGAACTTGCATCATTCTTAACACAAACTTGGCATGTCTTCTGGAAATCCTATTTCTTCAAGTAAAATGAAAAATGTTTTGTATTGTAGAGGCTAAAGCTCTGCCCTTTTGTTTTATTGAGTTGAAATAATCTTTGTTATTCAAAGGTTTTCGTCTTTGTCTTCCTAGAATATGTTCACTTCCAAAGTGCTTCATGAGAATATAGAGGCGACCTACATTACAGTGGAAACGGTGTCGTTCTTTGGAGTCAAACAGATGCCATCAAATGTTACTGTGAATTCAAAAGAAACTCCATTCACCTACAAAACCAACCAGGTGCAAAATATTATCTTGAACTATTCTTACTCTTGCAAATCAATGAGTCTTTTTGCTTACAGTATGCCTGTTTTTATCAATGCAGGTTCATCTTTAGTGCACTTTTTTCCTCAGAGTGTTTTTTTTCTGGAATAACTTCATTATTACAGTGTAGCTGGACACATTTCTAGGTACAAAATTCTTTTATAGATACTCCTGAAATAATTATCTTCCCTTTTGTGTTATAAGAACTGTACAGAGAAATAACGGCTTTTTATTGATGATCTGAACATGAAAGTGTATTTGATTGTTATTCTTCCTATCTGTTTTACAGGTTTTAACCGTGAGTAACCTGGTTCTCAATCTGGGCCAAGAGTTTACAATCAGCTGGATCTAAACCATTAAGACCCACGAGGGATGTCTGCTCTCGTCTGTTCATGACACTGGATCTTTTGCTGCTACTTTTTGTGATTTTTTTCTGATTATGGCTTTTTATTTTAAAAAGGCTGACAAGTGTAAGGATTGTTTACTTAGCAAATGTATCTTATCATACAGAAAATGAAACCGTAAGCACTAGTATTTAGCAGTGGGAATATTTTAATAAAAATTCTATCCTTAGAGTCTCAGGGGATAGCACATGGTATCATAGGGCAGCAGGTCTGTTTATGTGGTAAAAATAGATACATTGATTAAAATGATTTCAAGTGTTACGTTTTCCATTCAATAGCACCATTTAGGTTCCTATTTTGACATTCACTTTCTTTTCGGAGAATTTTTAATTGCACTAAAACACCCGTCTGATGGTTTAACAATTCATTTTCAATTGAATGTAAAAATGGTCAGTATTTTCAGGACCTTGAGTGTTGCTTGAGTAAGCCTTTTCTTTAATTCGGAGAGGATTGCTGTTAGAGTTTGAAAACAAAAATGGTACCAGAGATCACAGGAGCTATATTTTCTGTACATTAGACCTTAGATTATGGTAACTGCATAGTGCCTTGAAGTCATCCAAGTGTTAAAGCTAATCTAAATCAGATTATATATCTAGGTATTGTTGATTTCTAGATGCAAACTAAGAAATTGCATTTAATAGCGCCATTTCAGTCTCAATTTTTGCAATATATTTTAATTGTGCAAGATTTAAAGTGTTCCCAAAATGAGTCTAATATGATTTATTAATAAAATGTTGTTTATTTAAAGACGATGTATGAAGAGCACAACTGCTTGATTATGTGGTTTCAATAACTTCCAGATTTCTTTGAATCAATCCGGCAAGACAATGCTAAGAAAAAGCCATTTTATTTTTATATGTAAAAGTCTAAAATAAATGTATTGCAAATAAATTGTCATTCTTAATTCGTTTTAATGGGCCAATGAGCATAGATATGAAATACAACTAAAAAGCTTTATGCAGTGTGGGGAACTTTTAGTGTCAAAGCAAATAATTACCAATGTAACCCTTTTCCCTGTTGTCAAATAACTCTTCTTTTGTGCTCCTGTACAATCTTGGATGAAAGTTGTTTTGAGAGATGTAGATGGATAAATAATATTACACTGCAGCAAATGTTTGGTTAATGCAGCATGTCCTGATAGTTATTTAATAATTCTGTGGTGGAATTTGTTTCTTCTTTTTTGAGTTTTATAAAATGTCTGGGGCTGCATGGTGGCGCAGCGCCGGGGCCCCGGGTTCAGTTCCAGACCTGGGGTTCTGTCTGCGTGGAGTTTGCATGTTCTCCACGTGCTGGTGTGGGTGCTCCAGGCTCCTCTCGTGGTCAAGTATGAGACTGCCTTGCACCCGTAGCCTGCCAGGATAGGCTGTGGCTCCCCTGCAACCCTGGATTAGGAAAGCAGTTGGATGGACGGGTTAAAATATCTCCATCTAGCATGATGAGCACCATCCTGTGAAAAGATAACTGATCTGAATTTACAGCATCAGTGAAATGAAGGTTCGTTGAAGAACTTTGCTCAGCTAAGTGTTAGGAGTACCTTTATTAGGGATGAGCCTTATATTAACCCTTCATGCTGCACAGTGGCCTGCAAATATCTTTATCTGCTGTAAAAATCACAGTTCTTCCCCTTGATTCTTTTCTTGAATCAATGCAGATGAATGAGAACTTTTGTATTTATATTTAAATAAAGGTTTGCTTTGTTAAACATTGATTTGAGCGGTTTAAGTAATGCTAAAGCTTATGTACATTTATTGGATCTTTACAAAATAAAATCCATAGTTTGCCAACCGTTTTGTATTTGTTTCTTTTGCTAAAAGGAGAAAAAAGTTAAAAACCCAAACGTTCTAGTGGCAGAATACGTATGGATTCAGCTTAGGCACTTGCCACTACTGAAACGGAAACAAAACTTACTGATAAGAATGTTAAAATCCGAGTCTATTAATTCTTAAAAAAATATTTCATAAAATGTTAGGCCTGAAGGACTTATTAAAATGCAGTTCCAAAAAATGCATTGTCAAAAAAAGATTAAGCTGAATTTTGTTTTAATTTAATTACTATACGGTTATCTTTTTCGGTTTTATAAAAACCTAATAACTTAATACCTGACTATTTCTAATCATAAAAGAGAAACTCCACCTCTGAACGTGGCCTGTGTTAATGATTTTGGACAGGGAACAGATGCAAACACGTTTTAAACTGCCCGCTCTGCTTTATTTTCGTTCCGGGTGACCCCGCAGTCGTTGCAGTTCAGTTCCGCTCCTCTCCGGGGGGAGGTTTCCGTTTCCGGTTCCCTTGGGTTCGGCCGTGCTGAACGGCTGCTGCACCGTCTTCTCAAGGTTTCAGTTCCGGAGGTAAACAATGGCCATGGGAATCAGATAAATCTCAAATATAAAGGTGATTCTCCCTGCCCCTTCCGTAGTCGCTTCTCTATTTGTGATGAGTAGAAGATAGCGCATTGGTTTAAAGTGTTGTGCATTGGTCTGATAACCTGTCGTGCGACGGGAATGAGTGATGCGTACCCGGTCGTGTGCCCCTTAGGAGGTATTTCATGTGTAAATGTTAACTTTGCTCAGAGTTAACCATTAAGTGACGCATTTGTTACTAACCTACTGCATTATGTGTACGAGATCATCTATTTGCAGCGTATGTGCGTACAGTATGTATAATTTTCAGAGTAGAAAAAAAAACGTTTAATATCGTGTGGGTCTGTGAAACTCTTAATCTGGGGCAGACATATCCATCGCCTTTTTGCACAATGATATGAGTTTACTGTAATAAAATGACTAAATCAAAATATTTGTTTTTAAAGTGGACTATGCTACTTAAGTATTTGTGAAACATGTTATTAGCTTTAGTTGGTCTGTTTTTATGGTTTTGCCTGCTTAAGAATGACGTTTTGGGCTTGTTTTCATGACCATTTATTTCTCCCCTTATCGGGCCAGAATTTCTACATCTGATGTGAGACATTGACATTTCCAGCAGAATGAATCGACCAAAGCCTGCTACAATCAGGCGGCCCAGCAGTGCAGCCAAACCTTCAGGTAAATCATAATCCTTCACATGCTTGAAATGTGATAGCAGGTATTAGTTAATGAAACTATTCAAAAAGTTCAAAATCCCCCAGTCTTCAGTTCACTGAGATGTTTCTGATGTTTTGAAGAATAATTTTCTTTCTGTACAAATCTCTACACAGGAACAGGTAATAGGTTTACTCCATGCTGAAAAGAGAAGAAAGAGAACACAACGTTTTGGCTGTGGAGCCTTCTTCAGGTGTGAAACGTTGTGTTTTTTTCTCTTTTCAGCAGGGAATAAACCTATTACTTGTTCCTTTGCGGCCTACGCATGCTGACGCAGCTCCCCACCTCATCTCTACGTGACGTCTTTGAACTTGTGCGCGTTGGCGATTGAGTTTTGTTAGTGCTGTAATTCAAATTGAATTGCATAGGTCCTGTGAAGTCTGTATTGCGCTCCTAGGTCACCCTCCACCCGGAGATTTTATTGCTTTGGGCTCAAAGAGTCAGGCGAGTGAACCCAAGGCGCCGGCCGTGTTACTGAAGCCGGCTTCCACCAGCTTGCCTTCCGATCGCAAGAGGGAGGCCGCGTCCACTCTGCCCTCTGCCTCAGGCCTTTCGGGTCTCACCAAGCGCCCCAAGCTTTCTTCCACCCCTCCCCTCAGTGCTCTGGGGCGCCTGGCGGACGTGGCCTCTGTGGACAAGAGGGCTATATCACCTTCCATCAAGGAGCCTTCCGTTGTGCCTATTGAAGGTGAGAAATACTATCAGTCAATGTCAGTCAACAGAAAAGAACAATAACACTCAAGAAAATAAATCAGTAGCTTTGATTTAGTTTACCTCTAGAAACATGGATGCATTATCGTATCAGAAAAGTAACGTGCTTCTGTTTGTGTTACCACTGTATGTTTCTTTTGTCAGCATTTTCCACTGAAATCTGAATTTTCTGCACAGTCGTTTTAAGAAGGGTTTCGTCTTCCCTGCTAACTCTCGTCTGGTGCCCCTGCAGTCCCACCTGCTGTGCTGCTTGATGAGATCGAGGCCGCAGAGGCCGAGGGGAACGATGATCGCATTGAGGGCATCCTCTGCGGTGCAGTGAAACAGCTGAAAATCAACCGCGCAAAACCCGACATCACTCTTTACCTCAGCCTCATGTTCCTCGCCAAGATCAAGCCCAATGTCTTTGCCACCGAAGGAGTCATCGAGGTTGGCGGCATTCCAGTGATTTTTTTGGGGGGGATGTGGGAAAAGAAATGTAATTTATTATTGCAGCTCCCGCGTTGCCTGCCTTCAGCTTTCCTCCCTGTCACCAGCAACTTGTCTTGTCTTTTGACAGGCTCTGTGCAGCTTGCTGCGCCGTGATGCCTCCATCAATTTCAAGGCCAAGGGGAACAGCCTTGTCTCGGTGCTGGCCTGTAATCTGCTAATGGCTGCCTATGAGGAGGATGAAAACTGGCCTGAAATATTTGTGAAAGTGAGGGCCAGCTGCTGTTTTCTCCACTTTGCGTGATATGAGTATTTATTGTCACATTTGAGGGGAAAAAAAAAAAAATGTTGTCCATTGTACATGTCAGATCATTTTTGAAGTCAAAGTTTTTTTTTTAAAAACCCAAGAATTTTTTTTACACTGTACATTTTTTCCTTCTTTAGGTGTATATTGAAGATTCTTTGGGAGAACGGATCTGGGTAGACAGTCCACATTGTAAAACCTTTGTTGACAACATCCAAACTGCTTTCACCACGAAGATGCCCCCGAAGAGCATGCTGCTGCAGACTGATGCTGGGCGCTCAGGAGGGGATCTCAGTGCAGGTACAGGCGTTTACAGTGTCTTTGAACTGTGGATCTGTGGCAAGGTTTGAAGAGAACAGATTGAAGAAAAATCAGAACTAATTAAAAATCATCCTTGTAAATATCTACAATATCATATCAGGCATCATAAAGCAGACATGTGGTAAGGTACACAAATCAATAAATGAGTTCTTAAAATATCCTTACTGGGATATCCTTACAGTTACTGGGAGCCATGCATGTTCTGTCCATCTAAAGCTGACATCTGCGGCACAAAGTGTTTGTTTTGGGTAACTGGCCAGACGGGGTATGGAAAAAATATATGAGCAGATGAACTACAAAGTTCAGGAGCCTTAAAGAATAAATTAACCTTCACTCCAGCTGTGTGCCTGCGCAACACACTAACGCCGACAACATGGAAAGGACTGCTTGCATCTCAAAGACTGGAAACTGGTGCTCTGAAACAGAAATGGCGGTTCTGGTTTTTCCTTCTGTAGGCAGCAGCCCTCACCCGTCCACCCCAGATGAGGACGACAGTCAGACAGAGCTGCTGATCGCTGAAGAGAAACTGAGTCCGGAAGATGAGGGACAGGTTATGCCCAGGTACCTCTTACACTAGCAGTGGTTTCTCAATATTGATCCTGACTCCAGGGCTTAGCTTCCTGTTTCGCGTGGGCTGTCCCTTGCTCACAGGCTCACGCTGGCCTGGGGTCCCTGATTGGGCGTGGTTCCCTCTTTAATTAAAAAATAAAGAGCACGCTGATCATTCTGGCCTTGCAGGTACGATGAGCTGGCCGAGAGCGTGGAGGATTACGTCCTGGACGTCCTGCGGGACCAGCTGAACCGTCGCCAGCCCATGGACAACGTGTCCAGGAACCTGCTGCGGCTGCTGACGGCCACCTGTGGCTACAAGGAGGTGCGGCTCATGGCAGTGCAGCGGCTGGAGATGTGGCTCCAGAACCCCAAGGTGAGAGCTGAGGAAGCACGAGGCGCCGTGCTGGTTTTGTAAGTAGTACGGGCAGGCCCCGAGACACGTCATGGTTGGGGACCAGACTGTCACCACCTACAGAGGAAGGGTGTATGAAGGGGAATTTTCTCCCATGAGAACCCTGTAAGTATGGAGATTCAGGATCGTCAGGGCAGGGGGTCTTTCTACAAGAATCCATGGAATAGAGTAAGGTTTGGCATCATAAATCAGTTTGTGTATTTCACTTCTAGTTAACCAAGGATAGGTTACACTCTTAATATAACTAATAACATAGTGACTTGCAAACAAAATGACCAATTTGATTAACACACAGTTAAAATATTTATATGGGGTATGTATATATGCACTTTATATATAGAGATATATAGGATATATTAATTTATTATACCTGTAACCCATAAACAGCAATAAATACAAAAAGATAAATAGCATCACCAAGTCCTTTTGAATAGTAGGATTGATGTATTGTAGGATTGTGTTTTAACATAATGCTTTGCCGTGTCTCAGATCCTTCGGTTGATTTGATTTAATGTGTGGAAGACGTTCACCTGATGATCGAGCTGGATTTCTTCTGTTGCAGCTGACCCGTCCAGCTCAGGACCTGCTCATGTCTCTGTGTATGAACTGCAGCACCCACGGGGCAGAAGACATGGAGGTCGTATCCAACCTGATAAAAATCCGCCTCAAGCCCAAAGTCCTGCTCAATCACTACATGCTTTGTGTCAGGTGAGAAACTGATTTTGTCTGCTTTTCTTCTCATCATTCATGGTCTTTCAGTCTCTTAATTTCATGCTTCTTTTGACATGAATATAAAAATCTGACTGGATTGTATCTCGCTTGGGATTTTTACCACAGGGAGCTTCTGAATGCTCATAGAGACAACCTAGGTACGATGGTGAAACTTGTGATTTTTAATGAACTATCAAACGCCAGAAATCCCAACAACATGCAAGTTCTCCACACTGTGCTTCAGCACAGCCCTGAGCAAGCCCCAAAGGTGAGATTTAATAATGCGCTTGGATGTAAGTGCAGCCAGTAAGTTAGAAAAACATATTAAGGATACTAAAATATTACTGTCTGCTTTAACTTTTTAGTCCGTTTTCTAATGATGTGGTTTATAGCAATTTACTACTAAACACCGCTGCGCTTTAGATTTTTGAAAAATCTCTGAAGATATTTAGAGATAGAAGAAGATAAAGGAGTGTGTGCAAATTTTTGGTCTAAACCTTATGGTCTAGAACTAATCAGAGCTTTGCAATACTCATTTCATTGGTCTTTCTCTGTCCTTCCTAGTTTCTGGCCATGGTCTTCCAGGATCTGCTGACCAATAAAGATGATTACTTACGTGCTTCCAGGGCCTTACTAAGAGAGATCATCAAACAGACAAAGCATGAGATCAACTTCCAGTCTTTCTGTCTGGGACTGATGCAGGAGAGGAAAGAGACAACCTATGTGGATATGGAATTCAAAGTGAGTGGGTCAGAGCATGCAAGGGACGTGCAGCAATCCGTAAACGCTTTTGTTTATTGTATGGCTTAATATAATTAAATTTTTTCCAGCCTGGGCACCCATTTTGATGGTTGTGACTAGATCATGATTTTAAATTGTTTTTTGTGCAATCAGTGGCTTGTTCTCTTTCTCCAGGAGCGTTTTGTTATCCAAGTGACAGATCTGTTGACAGTGTCCATGATGCTTGGAATCACAGCACAGGTCAAGGAGTCTGGCATTGCCTGGGACAAAGGAGAGAAGAAGAGTAAATGTCAAACACATTATTGTTCGTTCCAATATTGGCTTTATTCAGGGAGCATAGTAATTGTTTAAATGTACACTTACACTTCTAATTATTCTCCTCATTCCTAGATTACTTTTCGATTTAAGAAAATTACTTTAAGATTTTGCAGCAGTTCATTTTTGAGTAACAGTATATAAGCATAGCTTTAGGTCTGTCTTTAAGTATTTTATTGTGCTAGTACTTGATGGTTAACAGTGCTTACATTTCATCAAGTGCATTGTTGAAGCGTCATCTTTTTTTACGTTTTAGATCTGGAAGTCTTGCGTGCTTTCCAAAATCAGATTGCTGCAATTCAGCGGGATGCTGTTTGGTGGCTTCATACTGTTGTTCCAACCATCAGCAAAGTGGGAGCTAAGGATTATGTTCACTGGTAGGTCTTCGTTACAGACTGTGTCTCAGTCAGTAGCAAGTGTAGGCCGAACTGGAAGAGGTGCCAGGAATCAGCTTTCAAAACATTGCTTGTGTTTATAGTGTTCAGAGAATTCCCCCGTATTTTCCACTGCTTAACTGTAAAGAGTCTCCACACAGCAGTTTTAACCTCAGTAGAAAGCTATGAATAGCCAGATAATTTCATATGAGTCTGTATTTGGCCATAACCATAGTTCCAAATTTGACAAAACAACAGGAAATTCTTGAGAACCGTGGAATTTACAAGAGCTTGCTTCTTTTAAGATGGTTTTTACATTAAATGTTTTTATGTGTTTGGTGCTTTTGGATGTAAAAAAAAACCCTCTCTGTTTTCTGTTTCTTAAGCCTGCACAAGGTACTGTTTACCGAGCAGCCCGAGACCTACTACAAGTGGGATAACTGGCCGCCCGAGACTGACCGGAAGTAAGAATTTATAAGAAAAAATAAGGTCCTCTTTTTCATGTTACACAAAAACCTGTAAGGATAGCCTTCAGGATTTTTCTGTTTCTGCCCTTAATTCTGCCATTTTTTTCAGTGTATTATTTGATAATTTTATTTAACCTCCTGAGTGCCCGGTATCAAGCATAAATCTGAGCTCTTATTGTAAGCGATGAGTCGTTCACCCCATATCTGTGAGTTGCTTTCGACAGAAGCAAAATGGTGCTATTAGCAGTAGACAAGAGTTCTAATATTTTAAATATAGATAGATAAGACTTTATTGATCCCGAAGGGAAATTGCTGAAATATATTGCCGACGTTGTTGTGGATTCTGGATTGAGATGCTTTCTGGGTGGAATCTGCACGCTCTACCCTGGCTTCTTTGACGTCCCATCCCGAGTGTTGTCCCGCCATGCGCCTCGTGATTTAGAGTCCTCGGGGTCCTTGCTTGCAGTAGTTCTGATTACGGGTGGACAGATGAGTAAAAGATGTTTGCTCCCAAGGATACTTGCCGTTTCTGAAGCCGCCATACAGTCGGCAAAGAGTCTTTCCTGAAATGCCGGCTGTCGGATAAATTGCCTGTGCTAACGTTCGCGCCTCCCGCCTGTCTCAGTTTCTTCCTGCGCCTGTGCTCGGAGGTGCCTCTGCTGGAGGACACGCTGATGCGCATCCTGGTCATCGGGCTGTCCAGGGACCTCCCGCTGGGCCCCGCGGACGCCATGGAGCTGGCCGACCACCTGGTGAAGAGGGCGGCCGGAGTCCAGTCGGACGGTAACAAAAACGCGGCCTTCCTGGTTTACCGCACCGTAACACCGTAGGGCTGACCAGTGAGACCAGTGTAGAGATCAGTCTGGCCCTGAAGCACATGGCTTCATTCCCAGAGCAGATCTCGCAGTCGGATGTTCCTCTCCGTATTTAGGCTTACCTGTAGTTTTTGAGTTATGCTGAATTCTGTTGAGACCTAAAGTCGTATACTTTGAGTGCCACAGTCTCTCAAAGTTTTTAAATTACTTATGTTCCATACTTACTTTTCTCAATAATGGTTTAATCTTATGAAATGACTTATGTTTCATACCAGATGTTTGCATTTCCACAAGAGGAGATTATTTAGGGTCTAGATTAGAATAACAAACAGGTTACAGTACATTTTGTAAACTGAGTATTTTGCAGCGGACATTTTTTATCTTGATTTAGAGATTACTTTATTGTTGTGGTGAAATTGGCCGGTTAATTTTATTTTTCTAATGCGTACAAATGAGATATCTTCCTCTTTTTTTTGTGCAGATCTTGAAGTGTTGAGAGTGGAAAGAATTCAGCTGATTGATGCTGTTCTTAACCTGTGCACTTACCATCATCCTGAGAATATACAGCTTCCTCCAGGGTACATCTTATAGACTTACAATTTGATTTCTCTCATTTTAAATAGCAGGGACATTTATTTTTTAAACTATTATTTAAGTAGAGTATTATGTAAGCATCTGTTCTTTTTTTACTTGTTTTTATGACATGAAGAACTATCGTTGTTCTGTAAGGTGTTTTTTTTTAAGAGGGTTTTCTTATAACACTAGAAAGCATGCGTAAATTGTGTGTCCTTTCTACATTTCTCTGCAAAATGCTGTTTATGAAAAAAGACCCGATTTAGTTATCGAGATTTAATAAATTACTTGAGAAGAAATCTTAAGTCTTAAGAAATCTTCAAGTAGGATCTTGACGTTCGTAAGGGTACCATTGTTGGTACCATTTTTTTATTTAACAAAACATGGAAAGAAAGAGATATAAAACGGAACATTAACAGTGGCATTGTCTAGGATTAACAGAACCTTGTAGGCTGACGTCTTTGAGCTCCCGTATCTCTCCGCTGGTGCACAAAGCAGTCCTTAAACTGGCCTTTGAATGACTGTGCAGTCACACAAGCCCTTTTATGACTTTTCCAGTACACTGGCAAATGATTTTTATGTTTTCCTTTCAAAGCACCAACCTACAAGGTGCTGTAAATCAGCGCTGGCTTGACCTTGAATCCTCCCAGGGCATTTGAACAAAACACCAGCAACCGGAGAAAAAAAGCAACTGCTTTTTTGTGCTTTAATCCAGGTGTCTTTCTTTCGCACTTGGAAATGAGTTTTGTTCTGCTTTATGTAACTTGTTTTCAAAGGGTTTCTGTAAGTACTTCAGAATCTCTGTAGCAGGTTCACCACCTCACCAGCCATTTTTATACTGTGGTGGCTGAAGAGGTTTTAAAAGCTGTTGAGCCAGCTTCTGCTGTCTCCATATTTTCCTTTCTCTGCACAACCAGGAAAATAGCAGAGAGCGGCAGACTTGTGCTGCAAATTGTCAAAACAACTCGTGATCGGTAAAACAGCTCTCCGAGAGTTCACCCGCCAAAACAAGTGAATCTGTGAACCTCAGAAGTCTGCTGTGTATTAAAAACAACATCAAGGGTTTTAAAATTGCAGCGCTCTTGATCATTGTTGTTGTTGAAGGTATCAGCCCCCGAACCTGGCCATCTCCACGCTGTACTGGAAGGCCTGGCTGCTGCTCCTCGTCGTAGCCGCCTTTAACCCACAGAAAATCGGTAAGAGTTTGACACTCGGTGTTAGTGCTCTTTTTATTTTGTACATTTCGCTCCTGACTGACAGAAGTGATCGTTGTTTCTTCTAATGCCGTGCAGGTTTGGCAGCCTGGGATGGCTACCCCACTCTGAAGATGCTCATGGAGATGGTCATGACCAAGTAAGGTCCAGTTACATTGTGTCCCAAAACAAACCAGTCCAAGTCTTTAACTAGGCTGTGATACACTGTGATAATATCTCATTTTATATTAATTTACCTCCTTATGTTTTCTTGGCGCCCCGGCTAGCTCTGTTGGTAGAGCACGAGACTCATTATCTCAGAGTAGTGGGTTCGAGTCTGACGTTGGGCGCCAGGTCCTCCATGTTGGAGGTTGGGCAAAAAAACGCAATGTTACGGTAACAGCAATGCAGAAGGTATAGACGGGCAAACATCCATCCATCCTTGGGTTTTCTTGTGACATGGAGTAGTTTTTTCAAAAACTTGTAATTGATTACTTTGCAGTTACATACTGATCCTCTTCATTATTGAAATTGAAATAGTTCCTGGTAGTCTTGCAGAAAATTATGGTGATTTTCATAGTGTTTGCTTTTAGAATCTTCAAAGATAAAAATCCTTATTACCCACAGAACAGAAACTATACTGTTGAGTTCAGTACTGTTCACCAGTCTGGGTGATTCTAGTATGACCTGTTTGACTTTTCCCCTGCTCCTCTCACCTTTTTTATTGCTGTTTTGCAGTAATTACTCGTTCCCCCCCTGCACCGTGGCTGATGAAGAAACTAAAAATGAGATGATCAGCCGTGAGCTGCAGATTTCGCAGCGGGAGAAGCAGGAGATCTTGGCTTTTGAGAGTCATCTTGCTGCAGCATCAACAAAGCAGACAATCACAGAGAACAACAGTCTCCTGCTGTCACAGCTGACCAGTCTTGACCCTCAGTAAATACTGTTTGTAGCTCTCTTGTGATGTATGTTATTATACAGGCAGTGAAACAACGTTTGACGTGTGTTTCTGGTTAAAAGCACTTTTTTGATGCTGTTACTCTTAAGTGCTATTGTATTATGTGGAGTCTGTCCTCTAACATGAAGTGTATTTCAAATCTGTTCTCCTGGAGTTATTTGATTAAAGAATTATAATTATGGTAATTGCAATACTTCAGTAGGAATCAGGAATTACCTTTGCTCCTGTGCCAGAGATTGAACAGACAATGTGGAAAATGCATGCAAATTATAGAGAAAAATGTATACATAGAAAATCTACTAGAAAATAATTAGTATGTGAAAAATGATTCATTTTAATCCGAAGTTTAGAATTTGGGTTTTAGGTGCCGCAGAGCCCTGCAGGGGGACTGTGTGTAGTGAAAGTAAATAAGCATAATGCAACAAGTGTATTTTCCTCTTGAACCCAGGGGTCCACCTCGCAGGCCTCCGCCTCATATCCAGGAACAGGTGAAAAGTCTCAACCAGTCTCTGCGGCTGGGACACCTGCTCTGTCGCAGCCGCAGCCCCGACTTCCTTCTCAATATCATCCAGAGACAGGTAAGCCGCCTGCTTCCACACTCCTCAGGACTAGGAGATGTCCTGAACATCAGCAGCTGTCTGATGAAGGGAACCTCAGTCCTGCCCCGCCTGATCAGGTGTTCTTTCTACACCTGATCAAGTCATGAACGGTTTAAGAGTTTTAAGATCTGTGGAGGAGCAGTAATTGGACCATCATCAATGCAGCCCTGAGCTATTATCTTTTTAAGTTCTTTAGAGATCTAGAAAATGGGATTGTGGTCAGATGGTAAGAGTTTGGAACCCTGATCTTACTAACTGATACTACTTTGGTGAAAGAAACAACTAAGAAATAACTCAGGTCATTGTGCAGGTCTAGGGCAACATCATAAAGGCCTTTTCTCAGAATGCGACTGACACCTTTTTGCCTTGTGATGTCTTTGGGTATGCTTATTTGTGGCTCCATAAGCAAGATAGAAGTTAGGCATAGTAAAAAAAAATCAAATCAACTTCATACTAATCAGTAACCCATCATGCAAGAATACATATCTATACACAATGCCCTCAAGGTTTATTCATACGCCATCTCATAGTGGATAATGTGTCTTAGTTAAAAACATGCTGTACTGCATTCTTAATTACACCGAGCAAAGTCCATGAATAAATCTAGAGGGCACATTCTATGTGCTGACATATCATATAAGCACTGTTCTTGAAATAATGGTGTTATGTTGCATAGACGAGTTCAAGAGTATTGCACCCCTTGAGTTTTCGTTCGGGGTTTTAAATATCTCGCTGTCGTGTCCTTTAGGCCTCTTCTCAGTCGATGCCCTGGCTGGCAGATCTCGTCCAGTCCAGCGAGGGATCCTTGGACGTGTTGCCTGTGCAGTGCCTGTGTGAATTCCTGCTGCATGATGCTGCTGATGACTCCTCCTCAGCCGAGGATGATGAAGAAGGAGAAAGCAAGGAACAGAAGGCTAAGAAACGACACGTAGAGATTGAGATTTTGTTTGCTGCAATTCGAAATCGATTTATTAAAGTTTTAGGCATCTCTCAACAAGGGAACAAGGAAAGGTTTGTTCAAAGCTGAAAGGAAAAGAAAAGAGACACAACATTTTCGGCTGAGGAGCCGCCTTCTGTGTGGTGACTTCTGAAACCTAAAGAACGTTGTGTCTCTTTTCTTTTCTGTCTCTTTCTCTTTTGTGTTCCTTTGCAGCCTACGCATGCTGACACAGCTACCTGCTTGAACTTCTTTAAACACAAGTGAATCTGTACTGCAGTCATCTTGTACTACTGCATTAAACAGAAATATAAATTTGAAATGGCCTTGTTAGTTCCTGACCTGTGGAAACCTGTGGAACGTTGAAAGGTGTATTTGTACACACAGAGATTTATGTTTCCCAATTCAGAGGCTGCAAAAACAGAGGCAGCTCCTCGGGCGCCTGCAAGACCTGCTTTTGGGTCCCAAAGCCGACGAGCAGACGACCTGCGAGGTCCTGGACTACTTCCTGCGGCGCCTCAGTTCCTCTCAAGTCGCGTCACGGGTTCTGGCGATGAAGGTACGTGTTTCATTTCCGTTCGGGAATAATCCAAATTCTGAACCAGTAATGGACCAAGGGTCTAGTCAATTACCTTTTCAGAACACGGGCTTGCAGTACTAATTTACAACACAAAGCTCATCTTTCTACTTTACTACCTAAAAAGGGATTTAGATGTGTATTTCCAGTAACTGGAGAAAATACTTGGTGTGGTTTGTACCAGAGTTCAGTGTTTCTCCTGCACACAGTGCAGGAACGGCTTTGTGGATCTTCTGTCTGCCTGATCCGTTAAGCCATAGTTTGCTCTAAGCCGCCGGAGCTCTTGTCCGGAGCGACGGCGGCTCACGGCGCGGCTGTCCGGCAGGGCCTGTCTCTGGTGCTGACGGAGGGGGGCCTGCGCGACGGCGAGGAGCGGGAGCAGCCCATGGACGAAGACTCCCGCGACGCCGAGCTGCTGCCCGCCTACCAGTGGCTCCTGCAGGACCTGCCCAGGCTGCCTCTGTTCGAGAGCGTGCGGAGCATGACGTCGGCCGCGCTGCAGCAGGTGGGCCGGGACCTCCGCACTCGCCCCTCTCCGACGGGCTCCGACGCTCATCCATGTGATCTGCTTCCGCGCACAAGAAGTTATTTTAGTTTCGTGTCTGATTTGTGTGTGTTAATATACTTTTTCCTCTTAAGGCTGTTCACATGGAGACAGATCCCCAGACCATCAGTGCCTACCTGATCTACCTTTCCGAGCATGCCCCTATAGAGGAGCAGGCACTGCACAATGACCTCGCTCTGGTACGAACAAAATTAAATACATGTGAGGGAGTGATGTTGTGATTATTTCCTCTTTTTTCATAGTTAAATTAAGGGATTACATATTCACTTTGATTATTTTATCTGCCTTTATTGTTATTTCAGTTCAGATTCAGATTGTCAGGTTCTAAATTTCGGTGTCAAAAATGGTTAATGTTCAGTGATTTGTCATGAGTTTAAAAATGTGTTATTTCAATGGATGGAAATAAAGCAACAAGGTAGAGAATTACAAACTCAACTGATGTGCAGTATGTTTCAACCTCGGATATCTGTATTGTTTTGAGGTGCTTTTCTTTTATATTGTTCCTACAGTTGTGTGAATAAAGGCTCTTTTTTGTGCATTTTCCCTTCTCTCTAGGATGTTGCACGGCTGATAGTAGAACGTTCCACAATCATGAACAACCTCTTCTCTAGGCATTTATACAGGCCTGAGTCCGATGCTGTGTTATCAGCCCTCATATCCATCTTCTCAAAATACATCAGGAGGATGAGGAAGACCAAGGAGGGGGAGGATCTGTACAGCTGGGTAAGTTGGAATTGCACTGACTGTCTCTGGCAGGATATTGAGAATAAATTCCTGAAAAATGAGTTGATCAGCATTTACTGAATTATGATCTGTTAAATCTTCATTGTTATTGATTGTTTCCATGTTGTTAAGCAGACAAACACACGTTTTAAACTTTTGTTCAAACTTTCATAAGTATCATATTTGATTATTCTTTTAGTGGTAAAGCAACGCAAACGTTAATAAAAGGTTATTGTCCATTGTGTTTTTATTATTTAGTCTGAGTCCCAGGACCAAGTTTTCCTTCGGTGGACAACTGGAGAGACGGCCACCATGCATATTCTGGTTGTCCACGCCATGGTCATCTTACTTACTCTGGGGCCTCCTAAAGGTGATCAGATTTTTTTTTCTCTTTTAGCCAGTGTAGCATAGTTGTCTTGTGAGCATCCTATATCGGATGCTCATACTCACAGTACTGGGACACAGAAGGGAAATTCGGTGTAGTCGGGGCTTCAGATGTTAAAACAACTCTGTCTTGTAAGGAGATGTCTTATCCTTTATCACACCCGTAACGAATAGCCGTTACAGTTTCATTTCTCGAGTGTCCCGTGCGGCGTAAAGCGGGGTGTGAACATGCTTGTGCTCTGATGGGCAGGAGACAGTGATTTCTACACACTGCTGGACGTCTGGTTCCCTGAGAAGAAGCCCCTCCCCACTGCTTTCCTAGTGGACACTTCCGAAGAGGCTCTGCTACTGCCGGATTGGCTGAAACTGCGGATGATTCGCTCCGAAGTCTCCCGGCTGGTGGATGCAGGTCAGCGGCAGGTTTGAGTACCACTGAAGATTTTGTAATGATCGCACACCAAATGCATTGCAAACTGTTGTGTAGGCCGGAGGTGCATAGTTAAAACCTACCGTAGATTTACAGGGGTGTGTTGTCTTTCATTTGTGGACTGTGTGACCGTTCGAGAGGCTGATTTGCAGAGGCTGGAAAAACTGAACCTGCAAATCAGCTGCAGGAGGTTGTGTGTAAATCTTCAAACCCTTTCCTCTCCATGATCACGTGAATGAACATTGGTTCACAGTTGTACTTGTCCTGGTCACGCGCCTCGCATGCCAGCTGAATGTTAAAATGGAGCGTGCATCACCGAGAGCTGCAAAGCACATGTATCAGTGAAGCCGTGCTTGTAGGTCCGACTGGTCTCCCCAGTTTAAAGGAAGTCAACATTATCGGTCATTTTCTCCTCCAGCGTTGCAGGACCTGGAGCCTCAGCAGCTGCTGCTTTTTGTCCAGTCTTTCGGGATCCCAGTGTCTAGTATGAGTAAACTGCTGCAGTATCTGGACCAGGCGGTGTCCCATGACCCACAGACTCTGGAGCAGAACATCATGGATAAGAGTAAGAGTCTTTCTCAGCTTCGCCCTCTAACCCAATCCTAGCTGATTCTGATTTGGTGAAGTTTGTCTCTGACTTTGTCAGCCCAGCCTCCTGTGTTTGATTTTTAATGAACTCTTTGAGTATTTTCTAAAAATTAAAATGCATGAGCACCCGTCGCGGTCTTCACCTCTGACATCCCAAGGTTACATTTGTGGGTCTTAATAGTGTGGTATTCGTGTAGATTTTCAGTACACTTAAAAATTGCAAGATGCATTTAGTTAAGGAACCCGTTAAAAGAACAAAAGGTTGATATAGATGAGAGGAGGCCGTGTGGCCCATCAAGCATGTTTGATGAACAGGCTCACTGTCCTGAGGATGTCTCCCAGCCTTCTCTTATATGATATCAAATGAGCGAGTGGGTAGTAATGTAACTGCTGTCTGACGGAGAAAAAACGCAGGTTTGCGCAGTGAATTTGAATTTGCCGTTGTTTCCTCTTGGCTCAGACTACATGGCCCACCTCGTGGAAGTGCAGCATGAGAGAGGCGCCACTGGGGGCCACACTTTCCACACCCTGCTGAGTGCCTCCCTGCCCCCTCGAAGAGGTGAGTCCCACTGTACCATCCCACCCGCTTCCTTCCAGTGCCGCGGCACCGCAGGGCACTCGGACACGCACGTGCTCACCACAGGAGTGAGAGCCCCGCACGAACACTGGGAGGGAGCATACGAGCTCAGTTAGCAGCAGTCCCGACGCCGCCATGCCGCTGGCTTTGACCAAACCGTCGCTTAGAAGTATTCGTTCGACACGGTGAAGGACCCCTTACAACGTGGTCCTTGAATCTGATGTCAGCGTGCTGAAGCAGTGTGACGTAGCCAGTCGTGGACCTGTCATTTCAGACAGCGCCGATGCGAACCAAGCCAAAGTGACCGGGGAGACTCCCCATGGGGCTGTGAGGATCCGGCCGGCCAGCCAGATACCGGTTATCGGGCCCGATGACGACCTGGCTGGGATGTTCCTTCAGGTACCGTGTCTTTCGCTTCAGGTCTGCCGATACACCTGATTCAGGTTCGCTTGCAGCGCTTGCAGGTGACGTGATGCAAGCATCTGCAAAGACCCCGAGAGGTTGCCTTATCCCCAGGAGACAAAAAAAGTTATGAAGAGAATGTTTACCCCTGCATTGGCACTTCTACATGAAAAATGTATTATGATTTTTTTGGGGGGGAATGAAGATCAAGCACCTTGTATGTGTACAGACAAAAGCGTAAAGGTTTAAAAAATGTGTTGTAGTTGAATTGTATGTAAGCAAGTAATGGGAAAATTCGGTTTTTTTCAGTTTTGTTGCTACTGGCTTTCTGTGTTGAAGAAAGATTTATTCATTCTTGTGTTGTGCCGCTTAAAATGCTGAAGTTAATTGTCACAAATGCCTTGGTTGCCAAAAGGTGAAGACTGGTTCGCTTGAGCCGCTGGGTGTGTTGCGTTTCGCCGTGAGTGCGCGATTTTGTGACGGACCTGCCGGCCCGCTCTGTCCGCAGCTCTTCCCCTTGAACGTGGACATGCGCTGGCAGAGCTCGAACCCGCAGCAGGTGTCCCTGGCCTTGCAGCAGGCGCTGGCACAGGAGCTGGCCAGGGTCCGGCAGGGCCACCCCCAGGTGACTGGCGTCGCGCTGCGCCTCCTGCAGGCCGTGGCCGCGCTGCTGACCTCGGCGCACAGCGGGGCTCTGGTCTTGGCCATGCACCGCGGCCACGCCGTGTCCTGCCCGCTGCTGCGCCAGCTCCACCTGTATCAGGTAAGATGAGGGGCGGGTGTGGCGTCGGGACACGCAGTTCCCCTCTAGGAGTTCAGTATCCAGACGGTTCATCCCAAACAGTGTTAAATGTCGTCATCTGTTTCTGTGCCCGAGGAAATCTTAAGAAAAATCAATTTTTTTCCCGTTTACTGTAAATATTCATTCTAATTAGTCTGTAGTTTCAGACATAACAGACGTGACAGAATTGGTTTAATAAACTCTGCGTTACATTAAGTAAACTCTTGTGTAATCTTATTACAAATAAAGGGTGACATCTCTCATAACTGCTTACTTATTACTTCAAGAATGATCAATTTAGCTGAAACGGTGACTCAGATGTAATGGACTGTGATTCACGTGTTATTTTGACTTGGTTCCTGGCTTATGCCTTCTTCCTTCAATAACCACAAATACAGAGCGGCTGGTTGCCACTTCTGAGTCTGAGCCCTGTCTCTCGTTGGGTTTCTCAGCGCTGCGTGCCCCAGGATGTGGCTTTCTCCTCCCTGTTCTTCAAGGCGGTCATGCAGATGTTGACGTGGCTGGAGAATCCCGCTGTGGAGCCTGGCCCCCTCCACGCACTGCTCAAGTCATTCGCCGCACAGTTCTCCATCAAACACCGCCTGAGCGACGGTATGTTGTCTAGACTGGTGGAGGGGTTTATTGCCATGCGTACGTGTCTGTTGGGGCACTTCTTCACGCCCATCTCTCAGGACACGAGCAGTACAGCAGACAACACAGTACGAAAGATAACACCACACAATGTAGACGGTATGTTACAAAATGGGTCATAATAAATAGTAACAAACATCATCATGCAAGCGATTCAATCCTCTCTTGCATTTGGTTGGTTTTCCTTCTCTTTTTGTTTCTTGTCCAGGATACCGGATTCGTCTAGCTGTTGGCAAAGATTAAAAAACAACACGAAAAAGATCTGGGATTTTACAATGCATTTGGAAAACAATAGTTTAAAATGTGACCTGTAGTTTAATGTCTCATCAAAAATGTGTGTGTTGGTAAATCATTTTAGTAAATCAGTTTTGGAGTGGGCAGCACAGTTTCTGAGGTGCCGTGGAGTTAGTATGTTCTCCCTGTGTTCCTCTGGGTGCTCCGCTCTCCTTCCACAGTCCAGAGACATGCTGGTAGGTTGATTAGTTTCTGGGGAAATGAGCCCCTCGGTGTTTGTGTCTGTGTGTGCCCTGCGATGGACTGGTCTCCCGTGACCCTGTGTGGGGTGAAGCAGTTAGAAGATGGATGGGTGTGTGGAGTTTGTAAAATAACGGTTACATTTTCATTTTTATTTCGCATCTCCCTCAGTCCGGACGGGTTTTGTTCATCTGGCTGAGGCCCTCGCGTACCATCGAGACTCGGAGGTTGCTGTCCGTGCCGTTATTGCAACACTGAAGGCTGGTGAAAAGTGCAACGCGGAACCAGAGCTGATGGGCAAAGGTGAGCTTAGAGAGCATGATTCGTCTCTGTGTCCCTCTGCATGTTCGTGTGGAGAGGTTTGTAATGGTACTTTTATTGCCTTCTCTCTGCTCTGTTTTATACGCTGCACCAGAAGCGGACCTGTTTGTTATGTCTTGAATTATGAGACTGTGAGAGAAAAACAGTCATTTTCCAAGAGGGGGTCTTGGAATTCTGCCACATAGTTACAACCATCGCTGTTTCCTTGAAGTATAATAACTCAGTATATTGTTTTTTTATGGTGGCAGCTCTGCTTTTAATGAGGTTTAAATTAAAAAGCTGAAATCTCTTTTTCGTGATAATCATTTTTCAGTCAGGATGAAAAATTGTACATAGTTATTACACAAGAAATAATAAATGTCCTTAGGCAACTATTCCAGATTTTGTTTTGAGCCATAAGTTTTAGCTTGTTGATTCAGT